TTTTCTTCTTGCATTTATAGCAGACTTTCAGTATTCTTTCAAACTCTATGTAATTTAGCCTTGTAAGATGGTGCCACCTGTCAAATACTTAAATTGAATCAAAATGCCAACAGTCTTTCTGTAACAGGCATGTCATCTCCTGCAACTGAAAAAACACTATTTTGTGGTTGTTCTCAAATGTGTGTTTGTATCTAATACCTGGCAGCATCACAGCTGTGAAGTATGAAAGACCTGAGTTTGTAAAATCTGTCTGCCAGATTCCAAGACAAGTTTAACAGTCCAGGAAAACCAATGGTTCTGGCATCAACAAACAGATACAAAAAACAAACTGGTGGGGAGAAACTGGGCAAAGAAGAGAAAATGACTATCCTAATTACCACCAATACCATTTTAAGGAGAGAATGTAAGATCAGAGTACAAAAACATTTTTTAGTAGGAGAAAGAAAAGTGAGATGACAGCGTAGCTCTCTGAGTTGCTTTTAGTTTTCTTCTATGGACTTCAGAGCAACATATGCAGGCTAACCCCCATTTTTATCCCATTTGGCTGAAAGAGAGCATTTGGTCCAAGCTTCATACACAAGTAGGAATTTTACCCTGCGTCCAATTTAGTCAAGTTTAATTTTCTATCAGCTCAGTATCAAATCAATATAATTGTGGGAGCATTTTGTCCAAAAGAAACAGGGCAACTTGCCTTGGACAAGATGAGTACAGGCAGTCCTCAGGTTATGAACATCCAAGTTAAGAACAGCTCATACTTATGAATGAACTGCTGCAAAGCCTATTAATTTTTTAAAAATCACTGTGGAAAATCATCACCACCATAGAGAGGAAATGAAAGGGAAGACAGAAAGGCCTCCAAAGCATGACTTCCTTCCCCACTCATCTGGAAAGGGAAACCTCTCAAGCATTTCTTGCACCAAAGAGGCACCCTGGTGAGTTTGAGGGGGGTGGGGCTATTGATATTTGCAGCTTTTCCACTTTCATGGGGGTCCTGCACCCCTAACCCCTGTGAATATGGAGAGACAACAATACATGATCTGACTCACATATGAATTCGACTGAAAGACTAACATCCATTTTCTCAAGACTGGAACTTGTTTGTAACCCAGGGACTGCCTTTATTCAAAATCAGAGAAAAGAAAAGCTCACTGAAATGCAGCTGGGATGGAAACAGGGTTCTTCCTTGGGGAGAGAGAGAAAAGTAATGGGTAGATTCTTGGCTCTTGTAACATCAGTGCCAAGAAGAAAAAGAAGGAATGTTAGTGCCACAATTAATTATACTATAACAACAGGCTAGGAAAGAACTGCTCCTGGAAACAAGTAAACAAACAATATTACATACTCACCTTTCAAATGGGAAAGTATCAAAAAGAAATCCTTTTATCTCAAAACCAGTAAGCCAAAAATATATAAATAAACCCTAAAATACTGACACATGAAAAAAGGAACAAACATTGGCTTACAGCATTGTTTCCAATATTCATTGTACATCAGCATTTATTTAGTCCCAACACTAAACCCTTAATGGCACTGAATGTTCTCTGTGCAGTTATTCAGTACCACTGTGAGCTTCACTGTTGATTTTCTCCACGAACCTCGAAGTATTTTTAGCATATAACCAATAACCAATCCAATGAATGACAGAAAGAGTGAATATTACTTTTATTTAGGTAAGAGTGCATCCTCTCTACCATGAAGAAATGACAGAGGACTTTCATGGATAAAGCTATAATTTTAAAAGTATAAAACTTATTTATGTTAGATATGAAATTAAGTTCATAATTTGAGAAAGATAACAGGCACTTTATGCCAAAGAAAGTAAACTAAAATTGGTGCAATTTCACAAATTAAGGTCAGCCGCAAAGAGCACTGAAGGTTTCTTCACTAGTTGTGCACTTATATTAGAACTTTGTTTTATTAAAGGCAATATATCAGAATTTGGGTCATGATGGCTTAATCAGTGAGAGGTACATTCATATATTTAGATATACTAGGGACTTAATTTCATGCGTCACTGACTAATCAAAAAGAGATACAAATCAAAAATGGGGGACTTTCTAATCTGCTGGATTAGAATAATGAATAGTTAGTTGCTGCCATAATTAAAGATGCCTGAAAAAACCTTAAGGATAAAGATGAATACTCTCATGCACTCTACATTTAATTTAAAGATTCACTAAATTATTTGCTTTGGGGAATCCATTAAGAAAAAGCAATTTTGCTAAAATATATCTATAAAAATTTATCATTTTTTATCTTTCATGAACAACATAGGGCAAAACACACAAAATCCATGAATCCCTAATATTAAAGAGCGATAATGAAATGTGACATGCTAATAATATCAACTCTCTTTGATTTAATACCACAGGGCTTATGAAAATAATTACAAACTGAAGCTGCAATCTTGCACATATGTACTTATCTAGAATACCCACTGAATATGTGTGATCTGGTTCACACATAAATCTAACCTACAATTTAGTTAACTCATAGGTTGCTGAATTCTGGACTGTAGTGTGCAAACCCACATGAGTACAAATTATAGTATGTTAACCAAAAACAAGAGAACCCATTGTTCAGAGTTGTGAATTCTGGGTTCTTCAAACTATGGATGAACCCAGAATGATAGAGTGTTCATGAGTTGTTTCAGAAGACTACAGAGATGGTGGGCAAGAATAAGTTAAATAAAAACTAAACTAAACACTAATCATTCTACATGCCAGCATTACAGTGCTGCAAAAGAACTTGCAATATGAGGAGAGAACAGACAAAAAGCAACTCATGTACTGAGAAAACAAATTATGGATTTTTTTCTCATAGAGCATCAAACCCTAAATTAATCATGCATCGAACAGACCATGGCTTAATCTTACGTGAAAACCATGGCTCTCTGTGGTTGAATTCACACGTAACAGCAAGCCATGCTGAAAATTGCTTGTCTTTCTATACAAATCCAGCAAGCATGGTGAAGCATGGTCCATTTGGTTACTGTGAATCCCCGGGGAGAATCAGCAGTCTGCTCTAAGGTTTCCATGCTTCACCACTGGTTGTGGTTGTGTGTGACCCCAGTTACAATGTTTTGGTGTGGGTTTCCTATTTACACCAGGCCAGAACTTTCTGCTGGCCTGTTCTGCCTAGCAACTGCCAAGAGGGCATTTTCTTATGCCCTGCCACCATGGTGGCCTGCCGCAGCACAATGGAAAGCTTACACCTGCAGGAAATACAGGGAGCGCCTCCAGCAGTGGCGGCTATAGGGACAGCTGCATGTGGCACTTCTGCCTGGTCACTGCCCTGTGCTGGAGCTGTACCAGTAAGCGTGCTGGGTGAGGGTCAGAAGGAATGTGTTTGTCATACAGCTGTGGCAGGGGGATGGGGGACAGCAGGGTTATCAGCAGCCCTCAGGGACAAGAGTGGCAGGGCAGGCAGAAGACAGAGCTGGAGACCTGGGCTTCTCAAAGTGATTGTCCTGATGGTGATGCCCATGGCACAGCCCACGTGCTCCTCTTGCATAAAGCTGCCATCCCAAGATGCAAGCACTGGCTCCCCCAGTAGAACAAATACACTCAGTATAAGAAATTTTATATATTCACAATTTTATCAGGGTAAATATAGGTAGAAAATATCGACAGTATTTTATAGCCCTTCCTTTCTCCATGGAATTCAATCTAATGTACATCAGGGGGAAGCAGAAAAGATATTGACATCTACAGATAGATCTTTGATTTATTTTGTATCTGATTAATTGTTGTGAGGCACCTAGAGCTTTAGCTATCTGGTGGAACAGAAATGAAATAAATAAAATTTCTATAGAGCACCAAGGCTTTGACTCCCAGTGAAAACAAAAGGCCTTTTCCCTCTCCTAAACAGGGTTGCCAAAATAGGGAAAGCTTGAAGGAAAGCAGGAGAAGATGTGCATGAGAGAATGTGTGTGTGGAAGCTCCAGTTCTGAAATTGGAAACAAATTCCTGGCCTGAAAATGTGCTCAAAAAGCACCTTGCTCTTCAATGTTCACCTTCATGAGCCATTATTTTGTGCCTGGCTCCAGTTGGCGGACCTTAGTATTCTACTGAAGAACAAAGTAGACCATAAAGGCCATCTACACATTTTATTTGGAGCCTGGATGCATAATGTATCCCAGCTGTGCTCTGACTTCCATAGCTTCAACATACGTGACTGAGTATAAGGCCATCATAAAAAATCTTGGGTGCAGCCAGATTTGAGTCTGGGAATTCCCAGGAAACACCTTCTCAGGAGCCACATCACGCCAGCTAACCCAAGGAGCATTGATACATAAATCAGCCAAGATACATTATCTAAAAATAGTTTCTGCTTAGACTTAATATTGAATACAACATTCCATTTAGAACTCTAACTTCATTCAAAAGATTTTGTATTGGACTGATGCAACTATGCCAGAAACAGTGGCTTGGGAATTACTATCTCAGTTTAAAAGATGAATGAGGTTCAATGAACATGGTGGTCATGATATTTTGACTATTTACTAAATGCATAAAACAAAAGTTAAGCATTAACACTGAGTGCTCATGTGCTTAGTAAGTACCGTGAATGACTCTGAATGCACCTCAACCACTCAGTCTGTAAGCTAGTCTTATCCTTCAAGACCTAGGATATTTCAGTTAGCTGGCCTGCAAACATAAAACTTCAACTATATTGCAGTACGATCCTATGCAATTATTTAGAAGCTCAGTTCCACAGGGGTTCGTGGGTTTTGCTGCCAACCAAAAAATATATGTAGGACTGCTGTTTAGGTGAAATCATTTGGACCCTTATTTGGGACTAAACCCCAATGAACACAGGACTTACTTCTAAATAATTATTAACCTGATTGTTCTGTTCGGTTGCATTTCATGAAAATTTCTATCATGGCAATATGCAGACTATAAGAAAATTAGTTTAACAGAGCTACTAATGCAGGCTTGGAAATGCATTTTGTGTGAGGGGCTGTGTTGTGCATTGTTGCAACAGAGAAGCCCAGATAAGAAGGGATGAGTTGATTTATTAAATGGCACAATGGATTTTGCATACCATTTTTTAAAAGGTGGCTAAAAAGAAGCAATTGGACGTCCTGAGATCAATATCGAGAAGAACAAAGTGCTTTGGAAGAACGATCGTTCAGCATGGGGGATAAAGAGGCGCGGTCTAAAGGCCGGCTTACTTTGTTTAGCAACAAGCAAAAGGCTCTCGGAGATGGGGGAAGGGGTGAGTAGCCCAGGGAAGCGGCCGCCTATTTGCAGAACGCCTCGAGTCTCTCCAGCGCGCTCTTCATGTCCCGGATTCGCCGGGCCAGGGTCAGCACGGGCTGCATTTCCCTGTCCAGTTCCTCGCAGCGGGCCATCAGCGTGTACATGGACCGGATGCTCGCATCCACGGCCTCCCCCAGACTCTCGACGCCGTCCCGGTAGGTCTGGATGCAGCCCACGCTAAGAGCTGTCAGGCCCTGCAGGGCTCCGTGCACGCTCCGCAACAGCTCGTCCACCTGCGCCGCCACCTGGACGGCCACGGCCGTCAAGTCCTGCAGAGCCTTCGCGTCCACGGCGGGGATCGCGCAGCCGGATGCCGACGAGGCGCTGAGCCGGATCTGCTGTTCCAGGTTATTGGTCACAAAGTGGGTGAGGGGCCCTTCCCATCGTACTGTGCCCTCGAGCTCCAACGCGCTGTGCTCGGAGCTGCGGGGAGCAACTACTACTGCCGCCGCCGCCTCTTCCGCCATACTCGGGCTCCTTGCGAAGAACTTCCGCGGACCGTTCGAGGCGTTGCAGTCTCAGCCACACACTGCCCCCCGCCACTTTCCGTTTTGTGCGGTATTTCCTGCTCTGGAGGCACGCAAACAATGGGGGTGGGGCGAGTGTTTTGAGTCTTCTGATTGGAGAGTGCGGCCTAACAACGCGGTCCTAGCCTGGTTTACTCAGAAGCAAATCCCACCGCATTCAGTAGTTTACTCCCACATGTGCGTGTTTCGGAAGGAGACCTAGAAAGCCCAGCGGAGGGGCTGCCTTGCCCCCAGCCCCACACCACTTCGCCACCCGGGCAGTCAGCAGAAAGGACTGGCCTCGAAAAGAGGGCGTGGCGCGCTACCGTGTTTGTGTCTCTCTTGATTGGGACAGCGCGGCCCATCAGGCACCAAGGTTTCAGCCGATTGGACAGCGGTGACGAGAGGCGGGCACCCCTAGCAATCTTTGTGTTCTGATTGGTGGGCAAAGGGAAGGGGGAGAGGCCTTCTCGAGTAACAACAGTGGGGCGTTGTGGCGAATTCTCACTCCCCCGCCATGTTCTCCTAGTAGCGGATCTGATCGCCTAAGCAGCGCAGCCCACCAGGGCGCTCCGCTGTCACATCCCTGCATTTCTACCGTCTTTCCTTGTTCACAAATCCAACTATTTTTCACCCCTTTGCGCTATTTCGCGAATCCTAACCTTCACCATGGTGACTACCACAGCGCCTTCACCCTTTCTAGCCCGGATCTCGGCCGGTACCGAAGACCCTCGGCGGTTTCCCACGTCCCTGTTTCAACGGCTCATAGGGGCAGAATACAACGGCGAAAGCCACCAGCCGGGTTGCTGCCCAGTGGGCCCAGGTGGTACCACACGGCCGGCGCTGAAGAAAGTCAGGCGGCGGAGAGGAAAAATACGGTCCACTCCCTCTGGCCTCTTACAGAGCCGCTACCAGCAGTACCAACAACACCGCGCCGGCTTGGGACGAAGGAACACAGCGCAGGGGACGCGCAACCTCTACGAAGTTCCCGCTGCCTCGTCGGAGCCTGGGCAAGAAACGGTCCCAAAAGAGAAAGCTCCGGCAGCTTCGCCAAGGACAGCCCCCGTCAGTTTCGCTAAACCCCTCAGGAAAGAGGTAATGGGGGGGGGATGTTGGGGCGGGGGGGGGCTCATGAAGGAAAGGGGCAAGTCGTTGTTTCTCGCAGGTGGGGGAGGCGGTGCTGAAGGGACAGTTGCGCAGCTCCGGTCTGCCTGGGGAAGGAAGAGGAAGTTTCCGTTACGTCTGTTGTCTTCCCTGAGAAAGGGCGATTCCGCGAGCGCTGATAGGTCAGAAAAATCCACCAATGAGCATGGCTGCCGAGCCCAGCAACAGCCCGATTTAGCCTGTCTGGCAGGGACGTGACGGCGCCGCCGTGCCCAATGGAGGAAAAGGGGGGGCGCGGAGGGGCTCGCTGGGGGCGCGGAGGCTACGCGCTGGCGCTGCTTTGGCTCCCCCGCGCCCTGGACTCGGGAGGGAGTGAGGGCCGCCTTATCGGGGAAGCCCTCTCGGGCTGCGTATCGGGGAAGGGCCACCTCTGCTGGCGTTGCTGAAGTCCTGGTGCTGCAAGACCAAGACTTTAAAGGGCTGCTTGGTTCCTTTCTGCCTATCATTAGAGGCTTTCTGACGGGAGTCGTCAGTCATCTAGCAAAAGAACTTGTAAAACGCAGTCATATGCACGTTAGACAGCCAGAGGCCTGGTCTGGAAGTGTAAGGTTTCTTTTGTCTGACTAAAGACGCATGGGATTGGCCCCTAAAGGATCTGCAAACCTTCTGGAACAGTCCAGTCCTGCCAGATTCCCTTTGGCACTGCTCCGCACGAAAGAACTCGACATAGATTTCCAAAATGCTCTTCCTGGCTGGCTGGCTGGCTGGCTGGCTAGTTAGTTATATCCCGCCCTTCACAATGTATCAGGGCAGTAATCAGTCTTACTGTCTTTTAGGCGCCAGGGGTAAACAGTTGAATCGCCCCAGTGGTTTCAGTGGGATTTACTACTTTGTACGTGTGTAAAGGGTTGAAACGTAAATACATCTAGTTGGAGACAGTTCCATTTATCTTGGGAGCTTGTTGCAGGACTTTTAAAGTAATGAAGTCTGATAGCTGAGCTAGATGCAGCAATGATCTAACTTGGTATAAGGCAGCCCTGTTTCCATCTGACAACTAGATTCTCCTAGATGATGCATAGGCAACACTCCTATAGATGCATATGTGGAAGCAAACCCCATTGAAATCACTTTCAAATAAGCATGCCTAACCCTATGTTGATGGTGACTTCTCTGAAGTCAGCTTCCTCACTGAAGTCGTCTTTGTTTATATGTTTATATTTGCTTTCTAGTCAAATGTTGTCATACAAAAGTTTACACTGATCAGAAATGAGACAGTGGCCCTACTCTCAAGTTTACAAATTAAAAAGAGAAGCCCTCGCACACCAAGGAAGAAGAGAGGAGAGAGAGATCAGTTTGACCATGCCAAATGATGAAATATAAACAGGCAGTAATAGCCAGTTCAGGCCAGGCAAATCTTCCTTTGCTGGTGTCTCGGAATAGAAATGGTACAACTCAGATCCTCTGGCAATTAGACTGGAATGAGGAAGCAAACTTTCTTCAACTGTTCCTTCTCTGGCTGACAGGATGGGGTCATACTAGCCTTTTCCTTGCTGTGCCTTTTTCTTGAGATGAAGTATCACCCAGTAGACTGCTATTACAATGCTAACAAAAAGTCACTTGGGAATGTTCCATTTAGTTAAACTAGTGGGACTAACTTCCAGCTAAATTAGTTTAGCTTTTCACAAAGATACTTATAAAACGTCACAGTAAGATCTGTGCAAGAATTAAGGTCAACTTCTTTTAGTTAGACTTGCATTGCTGATTCAGCTTGTCCCAACTGTCCCACACTAGAAGCCTGAGCAAACCATGGGAAGTAAAATCATTGGGTCATGGTTATAATTAGTACATTCAAGGGCTTTTGTAACAATAGTGGGTGTGCTGCAAATAGGAAATAGTACTTAATGTGTCCGGCCAGAATGTAAAAGAAATTAGTCTGGGCAGAATCCAAAGTTGCACAATGGAGTTTTACTTGTGTGGCAGGACTTTTCCTCTTGTATTCCGTGTAATCCTCCACACCACACAAAAATGTCCAGAGTCCAAAAACGTTCCAGAGCCCTCTAAATCAGATTTTGAAAGGATGTGGTGTAGCTGACAGAAGCAGCCCCATCAGTGGAATTACTTTATTCGATTTTGCCTTTGAAATAGGTTTTGAAGTGTTTAGGAGTTCCCTTGTATTTCAACTCTCTACACAATGGCTGTAAACATGACAAAGTTATTTAACACTGACCAGACAACATGCCACAACCTTGAGTGGGTTATGTACCCCATGACAAGCCACAGCACCCATAGGTGCTATATTGCATATGCAGCACCTACTGGGACATATGCTGTACATACTTGGTAAGTGTTGGTTATGGGAGGTTAAGGTTAGGTAGGTCACATAACCTAAATAGACAAGGGGTGGTTCAAGGGATAAGCAACCCATGCTGTTGGCTTTGCATGACACAACAACCTCCAAGCAAGGTTTTGCATATTCAAAATTGTCAGCGAAATTATTGGAGTCTCACTGTCGGTTAAATAACAGCTGGAGTACAGAGTGAGTGACTCTGAGAGACAACTCACTCTAAGACAAAAGATATGAACATAGTTAAGTGTTTATGATTTTATCTTTTATCTTTGCAGTTGCTCAAAACCAGGATTGCAAAGTCTGAAAAGGTTACAATTCCTTACAGTCAGCCTGTTCACAGTATACACCTGTGTGACCAATCAAAAACTAACAGACAGAGAAGCAAATGTAATATACCATTGAACAAAATTCCACCTATTAAAAAAAGTGAAAATAACTTCTGGCATGAACCTGAATCACCTGAGCTCATTAAAAAGCAGGAGAAAAAGGCTCTGAAAAACACAGAACATGTGAAAGCAAAGAAGACCATCTTTCTGACTGAAGCCAACCAAAAAGAAAACTATGCTGGAGCAAAATTTAGTGATCCTCCTTCACCTAGTGTCCTTCCAAAGCCTCCCAGTCATTGGGTAGGAAGCACTGTTGAATATTCTGACCAAAACAAGGAGATGATGGCATTCCATCTAAAAACTCTCTTGAAAGTTCAAGCATAGTTCATGAATATTTACACTGAACATAATGGGAATTTGAAACCTGCCTTGTTGCAACATGATCCACAAAAGACTTTCTTAAAATCAAACTTGTACTCTATTTTTTAATGATTGTGTAAATAGTGTATATCATGTAATGTGTATATTCATATTTTGAGGTACATTTTAGTTTTGTTATGAAAGGATGTATTTTACACTGCCCATGTGGTAGATGGCTTTTGTATATAATAATGGACATCTAATGTGTGCTTAATACATTGAAAGACCTGACAGTGTTTGCACAAGGTACTAACATTTTGAAAGAAGAAAAGCTCTCATCTCAAGGTTCAAATGAAAATGTGAAAAATATTACTAATGCACTACTGAAATGTTTTGCAATCTGTGGCACAATACATTGTTGAATAAGAACATTTCATGAAATGAATTTATTTGAAACAGTATATGGAGTTAAAATAATTTCTCCTTGCAAAGATGAATTTGGAATTTGATTTATGGAGCCCCAAATGGAGCACTGCTGATTCTCTGACAAAGAGCAGCAGAGCTATGTTCCAGAGATAATTGGTTATTTTAAAAAGAATAAATAAAATAATTTGGCCTCCCCTTATTGGTTGGCATTTTTTGTGAGTTGTTCTGCCTGAACGAATGGTGTTGTAGATGTCAGAGTATAGGGCACCTCTGTGTCTTGTCAATGTGAAGATGTCACTTTTTTAAACGGTAAGTTTACAAACGTCCATTACACTTTACTGGCCCATACATCCTAGTTCTCTGCAGTACAGTCCAATACATGTCTTCCCTTTGAGTTCAGTGGAGCTTGCTCCTTGAAGCCTGTTTAAAAGATTCCAGACTGAAGTCATTTTCAAACAATGAGTGCGCTTAAGTCCTCCCCAGTAGGAACCTCGGTAGCTTTGTAAGATGGTTCCTGTAATTACAAAAAGTAAGCAGGCTCTCCACACCCATTTGCCTCAAGGGAGATCCACATGTGGAAGCAACACTGGTGCCAAGTTCTCTTAACTGAATCTTGAAATGTGCAAGTACAAATCATAATGTGGGTGTGTCATTAGATGCAACTCTGTACAGATTGCATGGGAATAGGTTGGAACTTTCCATCAACGTTTTCCAATATAGCTGGTTGTTGCCACATCTAGACTTGGATTATTGTGACTCGCATGAGGTTCTCTGCTGGGAGCTAAGACTAAAGAAACATGAGACATGCAGCAATGTTCTGAATTAAAAGGTGCACTGAAGACAGATTGGAAAAATACACTACAGTTTGATTTACCTTACAGAGAACAACGGTAGACAAGTTACGAAATTCCAGTTTTCTGGAGTGGCAGTTGCTGAGATACCAATATACTAGATCTGTACAAGCACCTGGAGAAAAGTGTGATCTAATTCAGCAAATGACCAAAAAAAGTGCTACCCATGAACCTGAAACAAACTTTAACAGGTACAAATGAACATAAACCATGGTTTTTGCAAAATAACTGCAATTGATTTACATCAGGTCACTTGTGTAGGAAAAGATTTGAGTTTGCACTGCAAAATGTTCTGATCTTTTAGAGCAGGAATGAGCAACTTGTGTCCTCCAGATGTTTTGACTTAGAACTCCAATCATTCCTCACCATTGGCAACACTGACTAGAGTTTGTAGGAGTTGTTAATAAAACATGGAGGGTCACAACTTGCCCACTCCTGCCTTAGAAAAAAAAATAAAGCTGCATTTAGTAAAAAGTGATGCTTAAAAAGATGGTACCCCATGTCTATATTTTGGCCCAATACACCACAAGTATTTGACCTGAAATATTTGAGGGGGAAGATATCAGAGCACACTTAAGATGCAATCCTGGGCAAGTTTAGACAGGCCTGTTGTTGGCTAGTGCATGCTGGAAGTTGTAGACTTTTCCTTGTCTAGACTTGTATAGGAGTGAGCCTTTAAAGTGATTTAAATATTATAATAAGTACAATTTTCAATTTCAAAAATTTAAAACAGCATATAGCTGCCTTCCATTATTTAAATTTAAGGACAAAAGGCACTGAAAACTTTACATTAATTTTCACATGAAATACTGACAACTGCCCATCTATTTCAACAGCCTCACTAAGGCTATTGTGCAGCACCTCAAGTTTTACTGTTAATTCCATTTCATTCTGAGACACATGTATTTTCCCACAAACCTGCTAAGGATAGTTGTGTAAAAAACAATTATAAGTTTGAAACGATGAAACTTGCCCAATAAGATATTTATAAGTAGCATGCATTCATTTTTATTCAGTCTTAGGAAATAATCCATTCTGCCAAAATGCTAGTCTTTTAAAGCAGCATCTCAAAGCTTAAGATAAATGTATTGCTTTTAAATAATCAGCAATAAATTCATGCAATCATTTTAATAAGACATTAACTTTTTATCTCTGGAAAGAAAATGCTTTAAGAAAAATAACCCTTAGTCTTTATCATTAAGGTAGTTCCAGCATTCTGAAAAGTAGTGCTCATGTAGCTATGAAAAGATAAAACTATTTCCAAACTAATAAACATAATTTTTGTGTTATACTAAAGTAATTGCAAAATAGAATATTTTGTCCATGATATTCTAACTTCAAGTTAGAGCATAATGCAGTTTAAAGCGTATCTTACCCACTCGAGGTTGCAGGTTAGACCGTCCCTAAATAAACCATGATGTGTTTTGGATTGTTCAAGAAATGTAATTCAAAGAACTCCCCCGCCCCACTTCCTGGATTTGCATGATACTTGTAGGTTCTTGGCATACTTCCAGAGCCCCTGTGGGTAAATTAACTCATAGTGGACTGCTCTGTTATGGAATCCAGGTCATAGTCTCCTAGTACCTCTGTTCTTGACTTTAGTATGCATTGACTTGGGTTCAGACAACATGCTGCAGCTTGTCATGGGCCATTTAACCTATGATGAGTCAGTTGAATATCCAACCTAAAACAGACCATTGAGAATGGTTTAACTGCTGCATAACCCATGCTCACAAAGTTCTCATGACTGCATATTGAACATGGTGACCGCACATATGCCACAACATCACTGAGTTAAATGAATAACCTACAACAGCTGTTGTGTCATGAGAACAGCCTCAATGTCAGGAGGGAGCATTTTCTCTAGCATCTTCTGTCAGCTACACTCCATGACCAGGTATCTGAACAAGCCTTGAAGCTGCCTTGGTTTGCTATTCACGGGACCTTCAACTTACCAATTTGTTTCTAAGGTCCAGTGATCCTGATCACCAACCCCTTGCAGGACAAGCTCTGGACAGAATGATTTATGTCAGGTCCAGCCATGAATGCTTCATTGAGACAATTGGAGGGACTATGATTTGATCTTCTGAAAATACAAGTGCCTCTTGCTTCCTAGGCTGGGTAATCTGCTTGAATCTCAGGACACCAGATAGCAGACATCGCAGAGGTGGAGAGTATCCCTTTGCATCATAGTATGTAAGAGCTGTAGTGAACAGTTACAAGTGCACCATACCCAACACGAACATAACCATACTGCATACTTGATCTCCAGTGCTTCTGCCAAACATGAGATGGCTTCACACACTGGGGTCCTTTAGACTGCAGTGGCCTTGTGTTTCCTCAGTCAGCTAGATGCAGAATTAAAATGGCAGCTCCACACTGCACCAAATAGGTCCTTATTTCCCATCTTAAAATCTGGCATTTTTCCCCATGGGCAAGATCCCACCATATACTTATTCAGAAGTTCTGTTCAGCAAAGGTCCCACTTCGCCTCATTGTCATAGCAACATTAACAGCTTTTTCTTCTCCTTTAATTGTTTCTTGCAGCATACATGCAGCATTCCTGAATGGTCCTTTTTGAAATGGGGTGGGGCTTTAGTCTTTATCCTTGCAGTCACAAATGTTATTTTGCTTATTTGGTCATTGCAATGTCTATGCTGCAGGATTGATTCCTTCTCCGCAGAGGCACTCAAGCTCCCAGAGCAAGTAGCATCGAACTACCTGTGGCAGAATACTAGAAGGAGCCTGAATCTTCTGGGAGCGATGGCTGCAGATCCATCCCTGGCAGGAAGCAGAGACTGCACCTCATAGCCATGGGCTGGGCAACCACATAGCTGCTGGGAGCGCAAGCCGCAGGACTCCCGTGATGCAGGAATGCTCACCAGCTGAACAAGACCTGGGATAGGTTACTGGAAGGTAAGTGAGTTGAGGAGGGGTGGATGGCACTCAAAAGGGAAGTTTTGGAGGCTCAAGCCTTGGAAGATACCTCTAGTCAGTAAGGTGGGGAGGCGGAGGAGAGCGCCGCCATGGATGCAAAAGAGGGATTAGATGAAAGAGGAAACTCCGTAGGAAATGGGTACTGGGGCAAATAGACAAAAGGGTATACTGGGGGGAGGAGGCCTGTAGCAGAAGGATTCTTCACAAGGCTAAGGCTGATTACGAGCTGAGACTTGCCAAGAATATCAAGAGCAACAAAAAGGGCTTCTTTCAGCATGTAAATAGGAAGAGGAAGGGGAGACAAGTGGTGGGACCACTAAATAAGGAGGAAGGAGATCCAGTGACTGATATGAGGGAACAGGCACAGATGCTAAATGACTATTTTGCCTCTGTGTTCTCCCCAAAGCAGGACAGGGGATATCCGCATAGGAGATTAGATGATGCTGGGGACTTAGGGGCACTGATTAGAGTCACCCCCCTTGAAGTCGAGGGGCTCCTCAGGGCATTGGACATTACAAAGGCGCCAGGCCCTGACGGGTTACACCTGAGAGTACTTAGAGAGTTGGCAGAGGTTCTCTCACACGCACTGGCCTCCATTTTTGAGGCCTCGTGGAGAACGGGTGAAGTTCCAGAGGACTGGAGGGTGGCATCAGTGGTCCCAATTTTCAAAAAGTGTTGTAGAAGGGACATGGGGAATTACAAACCTGTTAGCCTTATGCCCATTGTAGGAAAATCAATGGAAAGGCTCATAATAGAGAGAGATCTAGTGATGCTAGATAGGGAAGGGAGGCTGACAGCCACACAACACAGCTTCCACAAAAACAGGTCCTGCCAGACAAACCTTGTGGAATTCTATGACAAGGGTTCGAGATGGCTAGATGGAGGGGATGCAGCGGATGTAGTTTACCTGGATTTCAGCAAGGCCTTTGACAAAGTGCCCCATGATATCCTGGTGGAGAAACTGAGGAGTTTTGGGATACACCAAAGCACTGTCCGGTGGATGAGGGCATGGTTGACTGACCGAAAGCAGAGGGTAACCATTAGTGGGGAATCATCGGGATGGTGGCCAGTGACAAGCGGGGTCCCCCAGGGCTCTGTTCTGGGGCTGATCCTGTTTAATCTTTTCATTCATGACATGGAAGAAGGGGTGAACAGTCTGCTGATCAAATTCGCAGATGACACTAAAACTGGAGCAGTGGCCACAACTGAGGAACAGGTACTCCAGTTCCAAAAGGATCTGGACAGACTAGGGAAGTGGGCAGGAGACACCAGGATGGCGTTCAATGTGGATAAGTGCAAGGTCTTGCATTTGGGACATAGGAATAGGTGTCATAAGTACAGGTTAGGTGACAAGTGGCTGGAGAGCAGCGCTTGTGAAAGGGACCTTGGGGTACTGGTTGACTGCAGGCTA